TGTCCTCGAATTCCACAGCAGTAGCAAATAGGCCGTGGGGCCCGCCAGAATAAATGGTGGGTTGGGTTCGGTGGACGGGTGACTAGAGGTGCGAGATGTTCGTGATCAGGCACAGGCGGCGGTACTTGAGACGGCGAGGGTTGCATTGAAGCGATCTAAGCATACGAAGCGGGTTGGAGGATGGTGGAGCACGGTGGGTGCTTTGAAACGCTGACATTTCTTTCCTAATAATGCCACGCATATCACTAGAGGCGGGTTGAGCGGGAACGTTGTTAGAAGGAGGTAAACTGTAGGCTTCCAATTCCTCACGAATTATGGCTCGAATGATGGATCGGAGCTCCATACTGTTTGCCAGGGGGTTCTCAGAGAAGTCGGGTCGCAGGCGGATTGACTGCAAGGTATCAAGCCGCTCGCATACAGAGACGACGTCGGAAACCGTCGAAGGGTTGTGCGCGACGAGGGCGTTGAAAGCGGTAGGTCCGATACTCTTCAGAAGGTGCCGGACACGATAACCTTCTGGCATGGTGTCGTCGATACGGCGGAAAAGTGCAAGCACATCCTCAATATAGGAAGTGTAGGACTCACCGTAATGTTGAACGCGTTCTGCCAGTTTCTTGTGAGTAACTTCTGAACGGACGGTCGGTGTGCCGAAAATGCGTCGGAGCTGGTCTTTGAAGGAAGACCAATCGTGGAAGTCGCTCTCATGATTCAGGAACCACGTCTTGGCAACTTGAGAGACGCAAAACTGGACGCGTGCTAATTTCGATGCCTCGTTCTAGTTGTTGTAGACACCTACGCGCTCAAAGTTGTCGAGCCAGTCTTCGACATCTTCGCCAGGAATACCGGAGAAGATTGGAGGCTCCCGAGGGGGGTTGTTGACCGGGCTAGTGTTGGCGGCTGGTGGTTGCGCCGGCGGGTAATTCGGCTGGGCTTGCTCTTGCGCCATGGTGTCCTGCTGGCGTACTCGTCGTCCCGAACGGAGTTCTAGGCTTTGGATGGAGAGAGGTCGATGAGATCGGGAAGCACCTTCCACCACTTTAAATACAATGATTCAGCTGACGCTTTATTCAATCAACAGCAAGAGGGCGCCGAAGATGAAGAGGTACGGGCCGAAGACTGATGATGGTTGTTAACAGATGAAGAAGATGACTTCCAATGAATTCTTACAATATATATATATATATATATATATATATATATATATATATATATATATATATGAAATTGCAACAAGAAAAAAAGAACAGAAAAGACTTTGGCGCGCGGAATACAACTTGGGTCTTCTCAATCATGAGTGCAAGGCGCTAACCACTGAGCCAGCGAAATTTTTTATTTCCGGTTTAACTCCACACACGGGGTGCTAAAATAAATATATTACAATACGCAATAAACATGACAAAAAAAGCTATGGCCGCCAAAAAAATTATACAAAGATTAATGCGACACTGTGCTTCCCATCCCACTGTACAGAGCGCTATATACAGCACGCAAGGGTAAAAGTGTACCTAAACGAGTTAAAAAAACGCCGGCAGCTCCAAATGCTAAGACTTTCTTTTTTTAAATTGCACACCGGAGCACTTCCTGTAAGAACCTTCCTACAGGAGCGTGGGTTTTATATGCCACGGGGATCTCACTGTTTAATCTGTAACAAACCAGAAACTTTAGATCACGTTTTCTTGCACAGTTGGGAAGGAGTATACTTTTGGAACGTATTACAAAGAACATTTAAAAAAGAGTTTCTATTAGACCCTCATGGAATCAGGCATTTGGCAGTAAAGAATGATGATGGATTACTTTTTGATGTTATCAAGATGACTGTTTTGCACAGTATTGGCACTCTAGAATGGCTGGATTTCATTGTTACCCTGACAGGAGACCAGCAATAGAGTATTTTAAAGAAACTATCTCAAGCTTTCTCGAAGCTGTAAGAACGAATGATTGTGTTCCTTCATGAATAAAGAGTTTAGGAGCTTTACTGACCAAGAAAGAGTTTTAGGACGTGATGTGCTACTGAGCCGCTGAAAAGCACGACCTTCACCGCTCGAACGGCAAGCTATTTATATCTACCACTTACCACTGCTCACGAACGTTTCGGGGACAACTGTCGTGTTTTCAGCATTACCAGCAAGATGGCGCAATGAGCGCGCTCGCAACTTCGCATGGTGGCGCCCTCTCTAATCACCCACGCGTACTTTTTCCCGCATGCAGGAGGGGAGCGCCGCTCCCTCGCGCGCCATTATCTCGAGGTGGGGAGGAGGGGAGGATCGTTCGTCGTGTCTTTACCTGGAACGATTCTGTTGTAGTTACCGGGCGCACAAAGGTCAGTGCAATCATTACAGTTTTCGTTTGCGAAAAGCGCGCGCTTTTCAGACACAGCGAAGTAACAACTGAAACGCTTACTCGCGTGCATCTGTACCTATAAGTGCGTTTCGTGCGTCATTTGTGCGTGAGAAACGCGGGGTACGTTTCGGTATGCTTTCCATTTTGCGCGTGACCTTCCAGTTTGTAGCTATCGCGTTCACTGCTTCGCCTTTGTGGCAAAATGAGACTTTTCATCGAGACACGATATTTACGCCTGTGTGTACGTTTGTACGATTTGAGAAAATGTGTACACGTATTGCCTCTATTGAAAAATTTGTTTATTTTTGTTTTTTTCTAATGTGCATACAGAAGTATGCACATTACATTGGAACGGTCACTAGCTACTTAAGGCTGTTGGTCCAAATATTCTATGTATTTTAATAATTTTGATAGAATAATAAAGTTCTTTTGATTGATTGATTGAGTGAATGATTGAGTGATTGATTGATTGATAGGAGAGTGCCGCGAGTGCGCACACTGGGCGCTTGGGAGAGGATGTATATAATGTTTGGACACTTGGCAGAGGATGTTTGAACACTTAGGAGAAGAAATGGAGGGAAGTGTCGCTACATTCTCTATAATCAGGGACTTTAGGCCGTGCTCAATGCGAGCGTCCTCAAAGGTTGAAGACAACGGAGTTGTTTCTTAGCAGGCCCGCCGTTTCCTAGCATCCGCCAGTAGTGGGGCGCGCGTTTGCTGAGGGGTGGGCCTCGAGAGCGATGTCTCCTGCTTGCAATCGGGGCGTGCATTCTACTTTAGCGCCAACATATTCATTGTTTCGCTAGAATGAATGAGAAACAAGAGTATATTCAGTGATGCGTCCACCAACTCGAGTGGATTGTTATTATTCTTTCAATTACAATAGTTGACATCGGCGGGTAACTGCTCTTCGTCGTAGTCACACCGTCACCGTAGCTTTCTGTTGTCGTGCTTATGTTTGGGCATAGCGTAATATGAAATAAGTACGACAGCGAAGCAAATGACTGTCATGCATTTTAGTACGAATACCTGGTATCCTTACTATAGCGACACTATTACGTGGCAGCTACATGATAATATGGTGGAAAACTAACTGTATCACTCATACAATAGGTACTTGAAACAAAGACGCTAAGCCCAGCCGCGGTGGTCTAGTGGCTAAGGTACTCGGCTGCTGACCCGCAGGTCGCGGGTTCGATTCCCGGCTGCGGCGGCTGCATTTCCGATGGAGGCGGAAATGTTGTAGGCCCGTGTGCTCAGATTTGGGCGCACGTTAAAGAACCCCAGGTGGTCAAATTTTCCGGAGCCCTCCACTACGGCGTCTCTCATAATCATATAGTGGTTTTGGGACGTTAAACCCCACAAATCAATCAAACAAAGACGCTAAGGAGTAGAACCATTTAACACCTTCGCAAGAAATTCTATCAGCGAGTGTAATGGAGACTTGAACGTGTCTGCCTAGTAAGTGCCCCGCTAAATTATGCCCTTCAAGTGCACTTTGTAGTTCTAGTGAAAGCGAATCACTTCACTGTTCGAATAAATCAAGTTCCGTTCATCTCTCTCATATTCCTTTACAACTGCCTAAGAAGCATGTTGATTGACGGAGGGCATTCTCGCACTTAACTCCAAATGCTTTTTAGCATAAGACCTTCAAGATAGTGCAAAATCCAAGGGAGAAGAGAGCAAGAAAGTTTAAGCGAAAAGACAGGGAGGTTAGCCAGTTCTTAGACCGGCTGGCTACCCTGCGCTGGGGAAAGCGGTGAGGGGAATGAAAGATGTTAAAAAGAAATGTTGCGAAGAGAGAGAGAAATTACAAAAAAAATTGCGACAGAAGAAAGGCAACACCAAAGAGTACAAGACACTAAAGTCTGTCTCTGAGGCCAGTTGTCCGCAGAAAGCGCAGCAAAGCTTTCAAAGCCTTCTGGGATGGGGATGGGCTTGGCCAATGACCCAGAATCCTTTGTTCCGACAAAGACCGATCGTCCAGTCTATCCAGAGCTGCAGTGAGTTCTTCTCTTTGGGCGTTGAAATGGGTGCACTCACACAGAAGGTGTGCGATGGTTTCATCGCAGCTGCAGTAAGTGCATGTAGGAGAGCTGGCCATTCCAATGAGATAAGAGTATGCGTTCGTGAAGGCCACTTCAAGCCACAGGCGGCATAGAAGAGTCTCCTCCGCTCGAGATATCCTTGGGGGAAGAGAAAATTTCTGTTCATGTCAGGAGCTTAATTCCATCCTAATGCGCTGCTTTTAAAACAGACAAAATAAGCTAGATTAAATGTCTTAAATAGCATATTTATTTTCGTGCTCAACAAAATGCATGAAGGGCCTTAATATGAAACAATGCGGCGAAATGCGGACATAGCACACCACATGTTGTTTTGCGCTCTCAAATTCGCCCTCATGCACGCGAAAATGTAGCTAGTGAAGGCAAGAAAGTGCGTTTGTTAAAACATGGACGACGTTGAGTTCCACGAATTTTCCAACGCTTCACGATTCTATGTTCCTCGAAACTTCTGCCTTATTTGTTTGACGGAGGTCAGGTGTGAGCTAAACATTTCACGCTAAACCATTCCATCCGTCCTGACTAATTTTAAAAATATATGCGTGGTTTTATGACATGAATTATCATTTTTCATGCGGATACAATAATTTTGTGCAGCACGTGCTGAGCATGTCCGAGGACGACCCGCGTCGGATGGACGAGATCCGGAAGTACGCCGCCATCTACGGCCGCTTCGACTGCAAGCGCAAGCCCGAGAAGCCGCTCACTCTGCACGAGGTGAGTGGGACCGGGAAGCTTGTCTGTGCCTTTGTTTCCCAGTACTGGTATCTGCCGCATACCACCGCATGAGACAGCAAAATCAGTCGTGGGCGAAGGGCGAGCACTTATTCCGGGAAATACATTGCAACGTTCTGTTGTGCGGGAGAACGTCTGCATTCTTAAAAAGCGGAATAATAGCGATAAGGGGGGCGATGCGCCGCACATAGACTGAGACGAATATCACAGTCGTTTCCTAGCGCCTATATGCTGGAGCACATCGTTGCCAATCAGCGGAAGCTCTTGTGACCAATTTGTGACCGATCCAAAGGCAGCGAAGTGCACTAACTTTGTTGTTTTGCTGTGTCGACTGGTTGTAGCACTGCTTAAGTCGATATCTTAGGGCTTAGAGAAAAAAGAAGTGTTTATTTCATAGCGCCAGAGTGTTTTGATGGTGACCCACATAGACCAAGGCTGACAAAGTTGATACTGCTTATCGGGCGTTCTTGTGCCCAGCAAATCAAAAAGGCTAATCACAAAAGGGTACAACATTGGGTGAGTTTGTGTTGCATATGCAAAAGTGAACTGCAGCACGGTCAACAGCGCTCCTGTTGTTCTTTTCTGTGTCCGCTGGACTCACCTTGACCTGCAAGGCATGAGCTAAAAGACTGGTGAACAGTTGGTCTTTACGAAAAAGCCCCCCCCCCCCCCCCCCCAAAAGAAAAAGGAGGAAGTACCGAGGAAAGCATTTTAGCATCAACGTTGCTCTTGTATTCTGAGTTCTTTCTTTAATTACCCAGACAACACAAACACAACCTCAGGACGTCCTCAGTATGCCTCCGTGAGACAATATGACGCCCTCAGAATGTCCTCTTATGGTACTAGAATGGCACTAATCCTGTCCCCTTGTCCATACACACAACTACCTCAGCACATCTTCAAAACAACACTTCAGTACTTTTTCAGCATCTTTTCAGAACAACGATAGCGTGGCCGGTTCGGTACTGTGGGCAGTGATACTATTTAGGATTTGCTCTTTTTTCATGATATTTTATACATAAAAAAACACCTGGGAGGTCTTGTTTATATATACTGTATTAATTACCAGAAAGGTGACAGTGCTGGACTACTGCAGTAAGACAGACAAAGCTTGTTGACTGAAATTTATTCATTTGACAATAATTACTCACAACTGACAGCGTAGTTAGGCATTCGAGTCCGCGTATAGTCTGAAAAAAGAAAAGCAGTATCAAGGCAGTCAACACTGCTCAATCAACCACGTTTGTAATTTTCCTCAAAAGATTGATACACTGTCCTCATCACCCCGTGTATCGTGCCCAGTGCATTCACTAGTGCTTGAGGTGACAGCCTACCAGTACACTCGACCCAAGCGTTGACTTGACTTGCCCGAGGTCGAGCCATGTGTTAGATGCAGAAGTCGATCCTGTTGCGTTGGGACCAGGCTGCTTCGAAGCACGATTGATCGCGATTGGCTGGTGTTCCAGGCTGCTTCGAGCCACATCTCGCCGCGGTCGGCTGGTGACAATATATCCATTATCAGTCTGAACGTTGAGCAGCCCAGTCCACCCATCAACACGGCAATTTACCTCCAGTCATCTCCTACGACTTACTCTCTCACACATATCTTACTTTTAACCATGCACGCAAACAACAAATGACATGAACCTGTACTAGTACACTGCACCTTCCATGACAGACCCCATTTTCACAGTCAGTTGGCTTGGAATGGCTTGGCTAGTTGACTATCCAGAATGTTGCCGCAGGGTGAATGGTTGCCAGCTGCTAGTTTGTTATTACGCGCTACTGCGGCGTAAAATGACTAATTTAAGGCTGTGACATTTATAAGAACACAATGTTTTAAATAGACATTTAGCAATACCAGGTTCGATAACTAAGCCAAATAATTACGCGTCTCATTAGGCGGAACACAAAGTTTGAAAATTTTCTGCCAAAAAAGAAACAAACGAGGTGAAAATATACAATAACTTTATGACTGTATGAAATGAACGCGTGGAGAAAGTTTTCGCGTATGAAATGCATCTACTTAGTGTGCAAAGGTTTTAAGGAATTTTATGTAAGTGCTCAAAGCAATATTTTTGGCATTGCCAAAATCTCCTTGACAGGACCTTTTCCGGACCAATTGTTTTCCTCAGAAAGCACTCAAAAAGACGTTTTAACCGGTGATAGTGCATTGCTTTTGTACCTCCAAAACTTTCTTATAGTCACTTTTTCAGGATAAATTGTTCTCCTCAGACAGCGCTCGAAAAGACGTTTCCGGGGCAAACCAGCTTGTGTCGTCCTCAGTAAATACTAAGGTCCGTGATAACTGTGCGGGAACAATAGAACCATATAAAGACGACCTCAGGACATCGAGTGTTGTCTGGATAAGAGCTAGCTCAGCATCTGCTCGTTGTTGTGCGGCGAATTCGCTTATTGCTCCCAAGAAAGTGTAGTCGTTCCCACAGGCCGTATTGCGGTCGTGGTTAATGAAGTTGCAGGTCAAGCAAGACGCACGGGAGTGTTTTTCGTCCGGGATCACGCGCCGAATAATTCTTTACATTTTACATTTATTCATGGCAGACGCCCTTGAAATGGCGTCGTCTAGGAGGCTTGAAATTATCAAAGTCTTTTAGACAACGCAAGGCGTGGTCCTCGCTTACGGCTTTCAGCACTTTCTCTTAAGAAATATATGAAACTTTGACGCTTCTCAAATGGTCGCAATGCTCTGTTTTCAGCAGTGAAATGGATCGCCGGAGCTTACGATAGCACACGGCTAGTGTAATCGATTAGCCTTGCTTGTCCGGATGTTCTTGGTCTGAGGACATACGCTTCTTGCATCGGTATAGATTTATGTGTAAGGGTTTTCGTTGATTGTTAAAACTTCAGTGGAGATTGCATGTGTTGCTTCAGTTCTTGAGAAGATTCGTGCTGTACCATTCCATACTTAAAATCGACGCCTTATTTAGAAGCATAACGGTAGCCTGGTGATCGGTGAGAGTTTGAAAAAAGGCATTTAATGTGCAGACAAGCGAAAAAATATCGATACCATATCTTGCTTTCGTCTTGATGAGGAAAATTTGCCATAGCAGCAGTCTTTCGTGCGGGGGGGGGGGGGGGGGGGGCGGGGAATACTCGAGATGACTAGAGGCCGGATTTCTAGCCTCTAACAATCGGGTTTTCGGCGTCAAACATAGGCGGCAAAAATGCTGTTAACAATAAAATCCCAAGTATAGGACAACGACTTTCATGTAAGTTCAAAATTTCGAAAAAAAAACGTATGTTATGTACTACGAGAGCAAAAGAAATATAATCGTTGATGTTTATGATGGCACAAAGGCGCCAATGGTTCAGCATAGCCAGGTGATCGTTTTTCTTGCTGCATTGCTTGCAGGACGCGATCTGTCTTTCTATTGCTCAGCTTGGTGAGTCGTGTGTCCACCATCGAATAAACATGCTCTTGAGTCTCCTCTCCGTCATGGCTTCAACGAACAGCACAGGAGAAAGTAGCCTGACCGCTAAAATACCAGAACGGTCATTTAGCCTCGCATTAAGCGGGTCTAATCTAACAGAACACATCTTCTCAAGAGGAGGATTTCGTTACTTATATAGTCAGACAACGCCTTAGCGTTTAAGGAAAGCATAAGAGAACTCTTGAAACTTGCAATCAATTGGAGGAGGAGGAAGCAACAAAAAGGGAGAAGGCAGGGAGGTTAACCAGAAAGACATTCGGTTGGCTACCCTACACTGGGGGATAAAGGAAGGGGACAAGAAAGACGAGAAAGAGGGAAGAGAGGGAAAAAAGGGGGTGGGGGAGAGACTGACAGTAATTTCACTGCAGCGTGTAGAAATCTACCGCATGTCAGAGGCGTTCACACAAGCCTGTCTTTCTCAGGAAACGCAGCAGGGCTTTCACTGCCTTGTGGGCTGTCGAGGCATGTGTACGTTGCTGTAATAGCACCTGCACAGAAAGAGGCCGATCATCCAGTCGCCGCATTGCGTTGGCAAGTACTTGTCTCTCTGAGGCAAATCGAGGACAATGACACAGCAGGTGTTCGATATTTTCGTCGGTGCCGCAAACATCGCACGCCGCACTGTCAGTAATTCTGATTAACGTGGTATAAGCTTTCGTGAAAGCAACTCCCAGCCAAAGGCGATAGAGAAGCGAAGCTTCACGTCGATGTAGGCCGGGTGGAGGCCGGAGTTGTAATGATGGGTCGAGCTCGTGCAGTCGTGTACGTCGTATGCTTGGTGTGTTCCACTCGGTCAGTGTGAGACTGCGGGCCAGTTGACGAATCTGCCTCGCCGCATCCGCTCTTGAAAGCGGTATCGGAACACTGTTCCCTTCTTTATGTGACGTGCGAGCAGCATGATCTGCAGAATCATTGCCGCCTATACAATAAATCAATTGGAAAGGAACAAGTTTGGAGCTACATCACCAACAATCGTATTAAATGGAAGTTTATGGCCGATCATGCAACCTCGCGGCGTGGCTTTTACGGGGAACATTTCAGGTATGTCGGAATTACGTTGAAATGCGTTGGAAAAGCACCATTCACGGAGAAACAGCTACAGATTACCTTAACTGAAGTGGAATCTGTCATCCATTCTCGTAAAAGGCTGGTAAGCTGGGCCAGTGGGTGACAGTACTTGAGCATATTTAAACACAGCGCACGACTACGCGCATACAAGAGAACAAGGGAGCAACCACATCGATGTGGTTTGTCCCTTCTTCTTTTGTGACTGCGTAGTCGTAAGCTGTGTTAAAATATGTTCAAGTACATCAACTCCCGACCAACCACATACGTTTATATCGACTGTCGAGATCTGGAACCACTCTCTCCGACTCACTTTCTCATTGGAATGCGAATATCTGCGCTTCTCGACCTCGATCTCGCCGAGATGACAGTCGATAGTCGCCATATGCTACTCACGTGAGAACAACGAGCGAGAGAACTTTCTGGGAGCGTTGGTCTAAATAACACTTCTTGGAGTAGAAAGCAATGCCGTTTCCCAAATGAGCAACTCCGTCTCGCCGAATCGAGAAAGGTGACCTCATTCTTATTATGAAGTGTAGAAACAAAGGCATGTTGGTAGGACGTAACTGAATGTACGAACAGTGCAACCTAGAAGTAGTTCAAACGATTGTTCAAAGTCAACGCTCTCTTATATTCTTGTTTCTTGTCTTCCGTAGTTACGTAATAAACTTAAGAGTACTGAACGCTGGGCGAGTTGGTAAATCATGACTACAAAACTGCGCGAAAAATCGACAAGAAACGGAGAAGGCACACACACAAGCGCAGACTAGCAACTGACAGTTTATTGAAAGAAACACTTATATACCTAAAGAAAAAATATGACGTGAAAGATTAGAAGTTGGCAGTGAGATAATCAATCTCTAGTTGGTGCAAAGTCACCGAAGGCCTCGCAACACACGTGTCGCCATACTTGTGTATATAATAAGCCTCCGCAACTTCTCTCGCTGTCCTATCCCTGTGCCGGGACAACACCCTTGTTTCGTGAAATAAAGGGGAACACTTGCAATCCCTGCAATGTAGGCATAGATTCGACGAAGGGTGGGCCTTCAGCGATGCCCGGTGATCCATTAGTCGGTTGTTCAAACATCTTCCAGTTTGCCCAATATAGCACCTACCACATGATAAGGGGATAAGATACACCGCACCAATTCCACACTCAACAAACGTTTCCCGGTGTTTGACCTCACAAACATACCACTTTTTTTCTTTTCCTTCAGCTTTCCTATCCACCATTGCGCAAACTCGGCCCAACTTATTCCTGGACGAAAAAACGACATTAACACCGAATCTATGTCCCACCTTTTTCATGCGGTGGGAGAAGGCATGAAGATAAGGAATGCACGTGTAAGGCAAACGTTTATCTATGCCCGCTCTGTCATTACCGTCCCGTTTTAGTTTCTTCAATAATCTTTCACTGAGAAGACCCAGCTTCCTTCTGGGAAGTTCGATAACCTAAGCCTAGTAAGCTGGTCATGAAAAGCCTCCGACATCTGATGCGGGCACGATTTGCACAAAGCAGATTCGAGACACGAAGTGGCGACACCATTCTTGACCAGCTTTGAGTTACAGGAATGAAAATCAAGAATGGGCTTAATCGACCTCGGCGAATACCGCCAGCACGTGTGCTCCTGCCCAATCCTAATTTTCAAATCAAGAAACTGAATGCAGCCATCCTTCGGGACCTCAAAGGTAAATTTCAAACCCCGTCCTTTCTCATTAAACATTTTCAGCACATTGACCCTGGACCTGACACAGTTGTCCATTTCAACAAACACCAGATAATCATCAACGTATCTCATTGTCTTAAGCGCTAAACTTTCTAAGCCTCCTTCGAGGTCTCGATCTACCCTCCCCAAGTATACCTCACTCAGTTTAGGGGCAACACGGGAACCTATGCACACACCCGATTTCTGCCTATACACACCACCTTTCCATTCTACCAAAGTCGAGCGAAGATACATCGACAACAGTTCCAAGAAGGACGCAACAGAAATTCCGCACTCATTTTGGAACTGTAGGGCGTCGTTGTGGTCCTCTATGCAGTCTCTCACACTTTTCATCAAGGTTTCATGCTCCAACGAGTAGAAAAGGTCCTCTACATCTATGCTAAACACTGACATAGGACCGGGGGGTACCGTCCTCAGGAACTGAACGACTTCCTCGGAATTCTTCACCCGAAAAGGATCCTGCACTTTTAGAGATGATAGGTGCTTTTGCAGAAATGCTGATACCAAACATTGCCACGTTCCTCGTTCTGAAACAACTACCCTAAAGGGATGGCCCTCCTTGTGTGTTTTGACGGTGAAGAAAAGGTTCAGCAAATTGCCTTTCGCACCTCGCACCGCCGCAGCCAACCCTTCAAGTTTCAGTTGTTCCAGTAAGGCGACGGCCTTTTTCTTCACCTCCCTTGGTTTTTCTTCAACCCGCTTGAGGTTCTTGTGAACAGCTTGCATGCCCTTCTCAGAAAAAGTCCTCTCATACATGAGAACGAAACTCCCTTCCTTGTCAGCAACTAAGCTTGTGTGTGTGCCTTCTCCGTTTCTTGTCGATTTTTCGCGCAGTTTTGTAGTTACGTAATAAACTCTTCTATGATGCGCTGTCCGCACATTCAGTCATGACCTCATTCTTCTCCGAGAGTCCAGCAAATCCCGAAAACTATGGAACGTCGTTCGAATAGAGAAGCTCCACAAAATAAGGGATGACAAGATTGGATACCTTGATACCCTTTCCATTCAAGCTTTGCATGAACTTCTACGCGCAGTGTAGTTTGTTGGAAAAAGATCGAAGAAGATGACGACGATCTGCTCTGGTCTTCGATTCACGCCCTGCAGCAGCAACGCACGGA